ACCTGAATGTAAAAATTTTTAATATTTTAGCAAATTAAATCAAACAATTTAAAAATGGCAATACATACTAACCCAGTACTAGATAGCCCAGGAATGCAGCGTTGCTTTAATATTTTTAAAATATTAATCAATATAACTTCTATAGTGACACACTAAAAAGGAAAAATCCTCTGACCATTTCAACAGATGCAGAAAAAATCTTTTATAAAATTCAACATCAATTTTTCTTAAATACTCTCAACAAATTACATTGACAAAGGAACTTCCTCGATCTAACAAATCACATCAATAAAATCTATATAGCAATTATCATGCTTAATGGCAAAACACTGTCTATCCCTAACATTAGGAACAAAGTCCATTCTTAACCACATCTATTCAACATCATACTTGAAGTTATAGCCAATTCCATAAGGAAAAAAAAAATCTGGATTAGAAAGGAAAAAGTTAAATTCTCATTAACTGACAGACAACACATTCTTCAAACAAAATCCTCCAGAACGTCCAAAAAAGCTACCATAACTAGTGAGTTCAGCAAGGTTTCAGGACGCATCGTCAATATACAAAAATCACTGTCTTATATATTAGATATGAGCCAAAAATGCAATTAAAATACTTAGATCAAAAATTATGAAACATTTAGTTAATAGATTAAACAGAAGATGTGCAAGACTTGTTCACTAAAAACTATCTAAAAATACTAACAGAGATCATGTCACTGCACTCCAGCCTGGGCGCCAGAGCGCCTTGCCAAAAAGTTAAAAAAAAAAAATATATATATATATATATATATATGGAAAGTAAAGATTTAAATATGGAGATACATCATATGCATGAATTGAAAGCCTCCACACTGTTAAGATCCCCTCCAACTGATCTACAGACTCAATGTAATCCTAATCAAAATCCTACACAGCTTAGTAGAAACTGACATACTGGTTTTAAAATCTCCAATGTATGTGCAAACAACATAGAATAGTTCAAACAATTTTGAAACAGAATAACAAGGTGGAAGACTTATACTACCTGATACCAAGATTTATTTTAAAGGTATAGAAATCAAGACAGTTACGGTATTGGTGTGAGGATAAATCAGTAAAACAGAATACAGAGCCCAGATATCGATCCTCACATATATGGTCAACAGACTTTTAACAGAGATAACAAGTTAACTCAATGGGAGGGAAGAAAAATCTTTTCAACAAATGGTGGTGGCAAACTGGACAGCCTTACGAAAAAAAAAATTAACGTTGACCCTGACTTGACATCTTATACAGAAACAAACTCACAAAGGATCATAGATCTAAGTTAAGAGCTAAATGTTTACATTGCCTAACTTGCTATTTCTTGAGACTGCTACTAGCAGTCAAACTACATTTCTTAAGTAATATCGAGGGCATTCTATGATGGAAAAAAATGTAGGAAGAAGTTTATTCTTCTCCTTTCGTAAAGATTTATCATTTACTACCACCTATTAAAAACTAAGAAATCTAATACCACAAAGAGCCCATTTAACTAATACATAAATGTTTTAGACTACGAAGCTCTAAATTTGTACAGTATTTGTACACTGCTTGTTAATATGCCATTAAGGACAGTTTGAGAAATTATGATCTTATTCAAAATTTTTGTTTTACACATTAGAAATCTGATGCCCATCCGAACACAGTGGCTCATGCCTATAATCTCAGCACTTCAGGCGGCCAAGGCAGGAGGATCACTTGAGCTCAGGAATTTGATAACAGTATGGGCAACATAAGTGAGACCCTGTCTCTACAAAAAATTAGCTAGACATGGTGGCACAGGCCTGTAGTCTCAGCTACTTGGGAGACTGAGGCAGAGGATCACTTGAGCCCAGGGGGTCAAGGCTGCAATAGGCCATGATCGTGTCACTGTACTCTCTAGCCTGGGCAACAGAGCAAGACCCTGTCTCAAATTTAAAAAAGAAAAAAAGAAAAAAAAAGAAAGGAAGAAACCTCATGTCATATCCAGAAAAAGTGACCCATTTGACCAAGTTCATTTGTCTAATGAGAGAACTCAGGCTTAAATTCTCTGTTCCTTGTGTTACAAAACAGATTATCATTTTCACTTTGTATACAATATGCCCTGGAGGTTTCATAAGCAAATATTCCTTCTATTTCTGGACTTTTACGCTACCCTAGGCCATCCTTATCACAGCTTTTATCATTCTACTGTACAATAATCTCTGTTTTTCCCATAAGAATGAGGACTCCCTTTATGAAATATAAACTGATGATTTTTGTTTTGCACAACTAATTTCAGTGACAAGAAAACAGTGAAATCTCAGTAAAAGCTTCATGAATGAAAGGAGTTGGAAAAAAAGGATTTCCATGTTAACAACATAAAGATGTGCCTACAGAATTCCAAGAGACTACAAAACTCGAAGTAGGAAAGAAAGATACTGAGGAAAAATAATATAAGGAAGTAAGGCAAAATTAGTGGAAAATCAAGAGTAATATGCAGACAGCAAAAACTCAGAAAAGTCAACTCAATAAGATGCAACAGTATTACCAACATGGAGAAGATATTTGGTTCAGAACAGCTGGCACTTAATTGCTTAATCACAAAATAATTTCCAGACCTAAACACCAGAATATACTCTGCTCCACGCACAAAGCAACAAACTGATTACGATGTAAAATGACATTTAAGTAATTATTTCATTTTATAAGAAGAAGGTTAAAGCATCAGTTCAATATGTTGAAGGGAAACATTTCAAGCTTGTTCTCAGAATAAAAGTGTTTAAGTATATGACAACAAAAATACATGACACAAAAATCTAACAATTATTGATGATACCAATCCTTTGGCCTACATAAGCTAATTTAGGTCTCTTAAATGCCTTAGAGATGCATATCCCTTTAAACAGATTTGAGGAACTGAAACCTCTTCCTTTCCTAGACTGTATTAATCTGCAATCTGTTATAAGAATATAGATTTGCATAAATTTACATTCATAAGAATGTGGGTTGCCCTATTTCTTTTCCCCAATAATCTCCAAATCCCAAGATGTGCAATACAGAACTTTCCAAAAGTTCAAGTGTGGTGCTACACCTCTCTAATCCCAACTATTCAGGAGGCTAAGGTGGGAGATACACTTGAGCCTGGGAGGTCAAAGCTGCAGTAAGCCATGACTGTGCCACTGCATTTCCAGCCTGGGCGACAGAGCAAGACCCTGTCTCAAACAAACAAACAAACTTCTTGCTGGGTATTTAAAAACTCCAATAGTTCATCATCTTTTCAGGACATACTCCAGGAATTCAAAACAGCTGCCTCTCCAATGACCATCCAAGATTTGAAAAATTCCTAACATCTTTTTTATTTTTTAAATCAAAATGGGCATGAAATTTCTCATGGGAGTGTAAAAAGAAGTACAATGTATAGATTTCCATATGAGCTAAATACTGTATAAAACTTCCTCTATTAATTCTTGCACACTTCCTATGAGAAAAATTTCTTTGGAGATGAGAAATCTGAGGCTCAGAAATTAACTCTCTCGTCCAAGGTAAAATAGAGTGGTAAAAACTAGAAGCAAACATGTCTGATTCATCCTATAGCTCATTTTTTTTTAATGTATAAAATGTAAATACTGTTTTTATAAGAAGTAAGATGGCAGTACCGTTATCTTAAAACTTCTAGAGATTCTGTCCTTAAAGTCCTGCACAAGTAGAAATAACCGTTCTAGGGTCTCTTATAATTTGGCAAATGCAACATAGTAAAAAGGGACAGTAATTTAGAGACAGCCTGGATAAAGTCCTAAGTATTTAATATCTGGTAAGTTATCTACCTTTTCTTTTTTTTTTTTTTGAGACGGAGTCTCACTCTGTCGCCCAGGCTGGAGTGCAGTGGCCAGATCTCAGCTCACTGCAAGCTCCGCCTCCCGGGTTCCCGCCATTCTCCTGCCTCAGCCTCCCGAGTAGCTGGGACCACAGGCGCCGCCACCTCGCCCGGCTAATTTTTTGTGTTTTTAGTAGAGACGGGGTTTCGCCGTGTTAGCCAGGATGGTCTCGATCTCCTGACCTTGTGATCCGCCCGTCTCGGCCTCCCAAAGTGCTGGGATTACAGGCTTGAGCCACCGCGCCCGGCTATCTACCTTTTCTAAGCTTCAATTCTGTCACCTCTAAAATGGAGAGGATTTTAAAAACGGCTTCTTGGTGAGCTGGTGTGAAGATCAAAGCAGGTAACGTGAAAGTGTGTAAGCTAAATTGTGACAAGTGCTGGTTACGATTTCATTGTTATTAATTTAAAAACCCAAGTGGGTTCAAAAAAACACGTTCAGCCAGAATTTATCCTACTTTTTATTCCCACGAATAAGCAATCTCTAAACTTAGGGAAAAAATATTAAATAGGCTGTCAAGAAAGACCTCAACAATTACAAAAAGGGACATAAAGATTCAAAGATTAATATGCTTTGATTTTTACTTATTAACTTTAAAATCTGAACAATTAGTTAGAAGATTAAAAAAGAAAACTACAGAGATTAGATCAGTCCTGATCAAGATGTTATTTCATGGGCCTACAAAGTTAATTACAGTAAGGTGAGAAATTGACATGAAGGTTATTTCCAAAAAGATCTACAGCAAAGCTTCCCAGTAAGTGTTGTCCCCAGGAAGAAAGGCTAGTCTGAAAAAAACATGAAGCTTTAATTGTCTTAAAATGGAAGCATGGGCAATGTGATCAGTAGGTGCCTTCTTTCACTTTAAATATCTGCTGGCAAGAGATTTAAAGGTGCTTTCATCATCACAACCCAATTTTTTCTTATCCAAAAACATTAACGTTATAATTTATAGGCAGGTGCTGTTTCAAACAGAACTAAGAGTAAAAACATTTTACTCTTATGGTTTTATTTAAATCTAACTTTAAAACACACCCTTTTTCTTACTCAAAGTTTTCTTCATATCAGAGCATTCAGAAGGAGCAGTTATATAACAAAACAGAGATTAATGGGAACATAGATGCAATATATAGAAAACACTTACTTTAATTCTCTGACCCTTCTGTCTTGCTTTGCTATTTAACTGCTTCATCTTGTGTATTGTACCTGAGATCAAGAGGCATAAAATACTATTTCAAAATTTGTGTGTCCTTTCTAATTACTGTATTTGATCTCCTAGTAGCTATAAAATGTATACTTTTTTCCCTTCAAAAATAACAACAATAGCAAACACACAATTTTGAGAAAATATCTATACTAGAGAAGAAAAAGTAACACTAATCTTTTACCCATCAATGCTGACAAAAGGGACAACTGAGTAAAAGCTATTTTATATTTCTTTATTCACACAACTCGATTTTCCCAGGTATTAATATAAGGAAAACTATTTATCAAAATCAAGCAATCTGGTTTAATACAATCATAGCTAACTTGACAAAGCCTAAATAAAAAACACATCAAGTTTAATTCAGGAGTTATCATTTTGTGGGTGAAGTGAGTCTACATGATTTTATATCTTTCCCAGTCACCTAGTTGTACCAGTTTTGTGTTTTCCCCTTTGTGAAATTTCTTATATAACTTTGCAGTCTGGCTCCTATCCTCCGAATCCAAGTCTTATTTCATTATGAGTGGGTCTATGTACCATCTTTTCAGATCATCCTATTTTTTGCCACTCTTTCACCTTGGATCCATTCTTCATACCACAGTAAGTTAATATTTATAAAACATTTTGTGTATAAAATCTATTTTTAATTGGCTCCCAAAGAATAGATAACATTTTTTTTACAGAAATGTTATCCAGCCTCATCTCATACTATTTTCCCACAAAGTAAGCTGATTTATTATCTACCGAATTTTGTAATGAGACCACTGTACTGTCTCCATCATTCCACATTTCCAGACCTTCTTCCAGCCCTATTCAAATGCTATCTATCCTTTAAGAGTCTACTCAAACACTTCCTCCTCTATTAAGTCTTTCTTGACCATCCAAAGTAATCTCTCCCTCCTCTGGAATCTCATAGTAGCCAATAAAATTATTTTGGTAATTAACTATTTGCTGTCTAATTATAGCGTCTCCACTTCTGTCTTAAAAGAGTTAAAAAGTTTTCTGGTTTTTTTTTTTTTTTTTTTTTTTGAGATCAGGTTTCACTCTGCCACCAGGGCTACAGTGTAGTGGTGCAATCTTGGCTCACTGCAACCTCTGCCTCCCCAGCTCTAGAGATTCTCCTGCCTCAAACTCACGAGTAATTGGGACTACAGCCAACACCACAACTGGCTAAATTTTTTCTTTCTTTTTTTTTTTTTTTTTTTAAGAGACGGCGTTTCGCCATGTTGCAGAGGCTGGTGTTGAACTCCTGGACTCAAGCGATCCACCTGCCTCAGCTTCCCAAATTGCTGGGATTACAGCTGTGAGCCAGCAACTTTTTTTTTTTCTTCACTACAGCCTCGATCCCTGGGTTCAAGCAATCCCCTCACTTCAGCCTCCTGAGTAGCTGGGACCACAGCTGCACACCACCAGGCCTGGCTATTTTTTTTTCTCTATTTTTTGTAGAGAGGGTGCTCTCATTTTGTTGTCCAGGCCAGTCTCAAACTCTTGGGCTCAAGCAATCCTCCCATTTTAGCCTCCCAATGTGCTGGGTTTACAGGCGTTGAGCTACCATGCCCAGCCTAAAAAGTAACTCTTTAGGCAAATATGACTTATATGTCTAAGCATATTTCCTGAACTATAAGATACACATTTATTCACCTTTAACATTTAAGAAACTGAATGCATTTACAAATCTCAGCATCTTAAAATTGGGGGATCATGGTTAAGTCCAACCTCCCGAAAAGCAGGCCACCTATACTGTTCTTATGCCACTGGGCTCTGCTGGAGGAAGGAAACTACAAGTTGCCTCTGCCCACAGACACACTCTTAAGGCATCTGCTGTCAAATGTAAATGAACTACCCACCAGTTCCTTCTACACCTCCAGGCAGTATCACCCTGCTGAGGTCAGAATGACTTCTGTTTTTTGTATAGATAGCACATTAGAAAAACCAAGGTTCTATTATCCTATTTCTAACTCACTACCTACAAACTATAGAGAGGTTCTTAGCCAAGCTCGTCCACATTAACGAAAAAATACTGAACTCCTGTTAAGAATGGAGAGAGCACTAAACAAAATTAAAGTTCCCTTTAGCCATATCTGGCAGGAATGGTCCAGGATTTGCAAGAGAAATGACATTAATCTCATCCAGATAATCTTATAGGCTGATTTTAGTTTCCATAAAATCTGAAAGCTTATGTTTACTTTCATTGAGTTTTTATTTAATTTTGTTTCCCTTATCCCAAGTCCCCAATCTATGGCTTTGCCTATGAACTTTAGAAGACTGGAGAAATACTTAAATCCTTGTATCCATGTATTTTCATTTTCAACCTAGTTGGGTCTATGAGGTTGCTGTCTGTTTGTGTTTTTGACATCTGTTAAATGACCACTGCTGATGCTTTTTAAATGAACGGAATCCTCTTATCTCTTCATTGCTATAGGTATCAGAAGTCATAGCATATATTAAAACAAAAAGCCTCAGAACATACCTACTATTATCCCTTAATAAAAAAAAAAAATCTCTGATATCATCTTGTGCTGAATCATATACAGCAGCTAAATCAAGTATTTTAAAGCTAAATCATTATCACACACTGGTTTTCCATTTTCTACTAACAGGTATAAGCCCCAAACTTTAGTGAGGTAGTTATTATTAGTACCCATCCCCTTTAAATCAATGAAAAAAAAAAAAGATAAAGGTAAAAACAAATAACTTGCCCAGAGTCACAGAGTGAGGAGGTAGAAGTGCCAGAAATAGAACCCAAAACAGCTTGATTTTAATGCTCAAGCTCTTAAATTCTATGCTATTCTACCCCACAATACACTATACTTGCTAGGTAAACTGTTCTATCATATTATGTCCCATGTCCTCTTTTATCAGCTGCAGACCCTCTTCTCTTTTCACCTTTCTCTTCTGTCTTGTCCCATTCCTTCAGGATATGGCAGAAAATGTATAGTTCTTTGAGTTGGGAAGTACTAAAGTAAAGGGGTTAAAAAGCACTAGCATAAGATTCAGAATATCTGAGTTCTGTCATGCCAGAGGCTGTCATTAACTAGTCACACAGCCTAGCCAAATCTCTACATACAGCACAAATCTACACTTGGTCAAATCTCAAACTTGTCGTTTCAGTTTCCTCATGTATGAAATAAAGAGACAGAATATATATAACCAATGCATCTTTCAGTTTTGAAAATTCCATGATACTGTAAAACACAGACGGAAGAAAGAGCAAAAAGATAAATGACTTTCATTCTGCAAGCCATAATACAGACAGAAGAGAAAACCATGGTGGATATTTAGCAATTTATTTTTTTAAAAAGCACCCAAGCTCTACTCAACTTAATGTAGCTTCTTTTTTAAAAAAATAACTACTATAAGATTATATATAGGCTGAAAAATGTTCATGATTAAAATGCCAACTCTTGATCACTGATGATTCCTATAAATCTAATTCCTATCAGCAGTTTCCTATCAATGAACTCAATTCTACCTTTTAAATTAAGGATTGACCAACTCTGTATCTTAGAAAAGAGCATCAATATACTTCTCTCTCTCCCACTCCTACCCCAGGATGCAAAACTCAATGGTACTTTAATACTCCAGAGCTTGGCATAGGTTGGCTAACACAGTTAAAAAGGCAAAGAAACCAAGATGACCTGGCCTCTTGACATTACCACAAACTCAAATAACTAGACATTCTAGAAACAGAATTTGTACATCAAGAAATATAACTATGAAAATGTACTTCAAATTATTATAAATAATAGTAATAGCAGTTATCACTTATTATATCAATAAATGAAATACTTCACACCTATTATTACATTTCATCTTCACCAAAACCCTACAAAATACGTGTAAAATTATCATAATTTTAGAGACCAGAAAACTAAGACACACAGAAGTAACTTTCCCATGGTCACACAGTACGTTTCCAAATCACTTATTACCATTAATACCACCACCACCTACTTCAAGCTTCATCTTAAATCAACGTTGATTCTTTCCTTCCTCAACCTCCCAGCTTAATTAATCTAGTAAATCTAATGATTGTTCCCCGATTTGATTATATTCAGCAAACATGTATAGAGCACCCATTACGTATAAGGTGTTATACTAGAGAGACTGGTAACTTTTATATCCAAGTTTGGCAGGAAGAGACTGTTGCTTTCCCAAGAAAGAAATGAACAGCTGAAGAAGAAGGGAAATTGATTTTATTTATGTCCTTCATACATTTAAAAGAAATAAAAGTAGTTAAATTAAGCATGACTGAGTTGGCAAATAATTCTCACATATGACACTTAGAATACAGCATATTTGCAAATGTATCCATGTGTTTAAATTCATGTAATTGTTAAATACAGATCTAGTGAATTCTGAGATACATAGGTTTAAGGCCAACACTTATATAGCACTCATCACATATCAGACATTGATCTATGCAATTTCCATATATTGCCTTATTTAATCCTCAACAACCTCATGAAACAGATATCATTATCCCCATTTCACAGATGAATAAACTGAAGTACACTAGATTTAAATAACTTGTCCAGAATCTCACAGGTAGTAAGTGGCAGAGTTATGATTTATATCCAAGCAGTATGATTTCACAGTCTGTGCTCTTAAGCGCAGCCTTCTGAAGACAAAAAAAAAAAAAAATCTGAAACTAGAATAAGTCATTAACACTTTAGTGAACAAGAACCACCACAATATTCTCTGGTCTTTATGCCTAGTACACCAACATTTCTATGTAATAAAGAATAAAAAACAAGGGAGAGAGGGAACAAACTCATTAACTAGATCTCTTGCCCATGTCTAAACTACCTGAGATTTTAATCACTCCTTTCAGTCTCAGGTGCTTTACCTTTATCACCACATTCACAAATTTCTAAAACTGGAAGTGCTATTCACAACATGATTCTATCTATATGTTCACGTGTGTGTCTATGCTCTCTGTACAGGTGGGTAGCAGGTGAAGACTGCAGAAACCAGGACTCTAACAAAAGTCGAGAGGTCTGCAGCTTACAAACCACAAATGTTGTGTTCCTTCCCTCTGGGTGTCTCAAACATGCTGAGACATGCTTAGGAAATGTGAAATCCACATTGCCTAAGAATGCCGACCATGCCTACCATTTCTTCTATAACCACTCTTAGGCACAATGTCTATTTTTATGTCAACCTAGTGAAATCTCTTCACTGAATGGACTGCTGTAGGTACTTCTGATAACCAGAAACTTAACCACCTCTACACTGCAAGGCTACTTTTCAGGTGGATTTGGTAAAAGCAGGGGCAGACACAGACTGCAGCTGTGCTAGAGTGACTTTTCCTAATTCTGAAAGAATGGGTATAAGCCTAACACGGAGATGAGAAGTTTGTGACCACTTAACTACGTGACTCAGGTGGAGCTCATTTATGCACCAAGGCTACTATAGTAGCACGGTATCTTACAATTAAAGTCAGGACCCTGTAAGGCAACTAGCGTACATAGCAAACATTTCCCTTGAAAAGCTATTAAATAAAGAATAAGTTCAATCAACATGACTTTGTGTAGCTACTCCCATACAGTAACATATAATTATACAATATTAATAGAGTTCATTTGCCAAATACGGTTTCATATTATTGTAAAGAAAGTATTGTTTCTCCCTTATAGTTTAGCATGGGAATGGGAGAAGGATAGAATGGCAGCTCAGACAGTTTAATTCATTTAAGTTTAAAGCATGTATATTGTATCTCCAACAAATTACTAATTTTGCAGTATCTAATACCCCTTTTTTGGTCTACTAAGCATTTTTAAATGTCACAAAAAGTATAATAAAAAATTTCCATTTAGTGATGTTACTGAAAATCAAATTATTTTTAAATAATGCAATTTGCTGACAGAAATGTAATAGTTACATAATATGATAAAGTCTAAATAAATTTCATTTACGTGATTTCTACTGAAGTATCTGCAATTTCACTGTTTAAGTTGACAAATTTTTAACAAGTCAAAACTAGTCTTTAGCCAACATTAATATTTATTTTTGAATTTAAGAACCTCAATGTACTTAAATAAGAATTTACGAAATTCAATATACTAAAATAGGAGAATGAAGTACTTTAGTTGAGATTCTTATTAACACAATTATACCCATTTATGCTTATGATTATGAAAAAAAATGGTCAAGATGGTGAATGGTGTTAAAAGATGAAACCCCAAAAGCTGATAATTTCCCTATAAAGTAGTACTGAGGGAGGCTTCAAAGACAACCATAAAGTTCTCCTTGGCAAGAAGAGTTAAAGGGAATAACAGCTGGAAATTGGATCCAGATTTCTGTTTGAAAATGATACCAAAAATCTCTTAACTATCTCACCAAACCTTTTAGATTTAGACGATGACTAGGATAGAAGGAGAAAAATTAGTGAAAGAGTGGATTTCAATGGCAACAAAAATAAAGAAGGGTAGCATTAAATCTTCACTCTGTCTGATCTCTCAATAGACAGTTAGAAATACATATGCGGTTCTATGGTTCTATGAAAACTAGCTTACTACATAATCAATTTAACTTTTCACTGTACATAATACATACTAAAAATAAATAAACTAAGTAAAATACAGCATTTCAGTTTAACCTATAAATAGCAAAAAGAAAAGAAAGATTGCTTTGGATTTCATGTCTGAAGGCAAACTTAATTTGAAGATCATAAATTACATAAGTGTTTGGATACATTAGTATGTTTTTTTCTCCTAAAATCCTATGCAGCACTCAAGGGGGGCGGTAGAGGAGTGGGGAACAGTGAAGAAAGCCTGAAAGAGAGATAAATATAAGGCACCCAGCCACCATTTAATACATTCTAAGAAATAACATGTTATTACAAAGTAACTCAAGCCTCTGAAAAAAATAATCCAATATTAATTAGTAGTATTGTGGGTTTCCCACTACATAAAACTCCTACCTTCAAAATCTAAACTGGATCCTATCTCACATGTTCATAATAATACTCAAAGAATCAGAAACGTTTAAGAGTGGAAGGAAATTTGGACATCAACCAGTTTAAGTAGCCTCAAGACAAAAACAATGCATCCAAGATTAAATGGCTAAGACAAAAATAATGTGTCCAAGATTAAATGGCTGATTCACAACACAGTTGACAGTAAAATTCAAGTCCTGACATACTCAGCATACGGCTCTTTACACTACAATGTAGCTTTCTCAGCCTCTGATTCCCAAAAGTGAAACACAAAAACCCACCTTTAACAGCCTCTTTATGCATCTTTTTGGATTCCATATGACTATCCCAGTTCTTTCCAAAGGATTTAAGATAAGTTATACATAGGCTACAGCCAAATACAACAGTAAAACCCCGTATTTTAAAAGGCATTTTAACTCAGCATTTTTCAAAGCAAACTTGTGTAATCCATACTGAGACTATGCATTTCAATCACTTACTCAGTTTTCCTCCCATTAAGGCAATTTGCTTCTAGGGTTAACTACCCATAAATCTTAAGCTTGTCTCTTTCTTCTCTTGGTTAATTCTGAGAGAAATGAGAAATTCATTCACTTAAAGTATGGCCTTTTGGAAAAGTCTCTCTCTCTCTTTCTCTTTTCTTTTCTTTCTTTCTTTTTTTTTTTGAGATGGAGTCTCACTCTGTGGCCCAGGCTTGAGTCCAGGGGCATGATCTTGGCTCACTGCAACTCTGCCTCCCAGGTTCAGTGATACTCCTGCCTCAGCCTCCCAAGTAGCTGGGACTACAGGTGCCCACCCCCACGCCTTGGCTAATTTTTGTACTTTTAGTACAGACGGGGTTTCACCATGTTGGCTAGGTTGGTCTCGAACTTCTGACTTCAAGTGATCCACCTGCCTTAACCTCCCAAAGTGCTGGGATTACAGGCATGAACCACTGTGCCCAGCCTGGAAAAGTCTCTCTTAACCCCGTCAGTTTACCAGAGAAAGTCTGGGAGCAGAGTGCTTAATTTTATTCCAATTCTTTGATCTAATTTTCCATTTCCTGTCTCATTTTATAAAGTTTTGGGGTTTTTTCTTTTTGTTTTTTGTTGGAAAGGGCTCTAACCTTGTGACCTTAGTGTGCAGAAAGATGGCTTGGTCCTATTTCCTCTTAATTGTTAACCAAGAAATGTCATCCGTAATGTCTGTTTTGATATGCTTCCAAAAGGCAGGGCTACTGAGTTCCTGATGCAAAGGGCTGATGACTGTTGAAGCAAGGATGAGGGAGAGAGGCTGGAAGCTGGTACGTTGAAAGCCACTGCCATCTCGCAAAGCAAATAAACCAAACATATAGAAAAATGGCTAAATACATATGGAGAGCACTTAGGCATTCCAAGCTCTTTAGTACAGAGTACTGTAGACAGTTCAGGTGTACAAATAACACCAAGAATATTTAACTGTAGGAAATAAAATAAATCTCCAAAGTTTGACAGCTTATAAAAAGAACTAAATGTACCAAAAAGGTACTGGGTATTCTACTATATTTCCATGAAAAGAAATTAATTTTCATTTCTCATAAGAAACAGAGAATATATGAAAGAAATTACTCAGTCTGCCAAATTACAGTTTTAATCAAGGGTTGATCAGCAAACTTACTCTAGATGAATCATAGGAAGGACTTGGTTGACCACTTGTTCCCCAAGATGTTGTACCTCCTCTTTCATCCATACCTAAAAAGAGAAGAGAATAAAAGATATATCTGAAAACATACTTTTGTGGATTTTTTTGGTATGGGACAGCAGAGTACAATTCAGCAAGTGGTATTTGCATTTTCATGGAACAGCTAAGTACCAATCCTTGCCTCAGAAACCTGTAAAATATAAGTTACTTCAAAGTATCTTCATCATTGTTCCATCAATCCTCAAGCAATGCCCTATGTAAATTATAGAAATTCAGAATTAAAATATTTCTTTGCAGACTTTAGGATGGGTCATAGTCTCTCCATCCCGCCCCATGCCCTGCACTGCTACTTCTAGAAGTAGATGAACTCCCAAACTTTGTCTGGTTTAGTATTGCCTACATGAAAACATGAATAATTCATTCTTCATAGTTAAGCCCTAGAAAATGAAGCAAGACAATCATTTGATTTAATAAAGTTGGTTTCTTTCTGATCACTGATCAGATATTCTTAACTGATGACATCAAACTGAATCTAACTATATCAACCATATCAAATCAACATTAGTTATCTAAAATCAAAATGACACTTTTGTGGTAACAGTTCCATCTCTTCTAAAATAACACACAATTTGATTTCAAATAAACAGTTCCACTCTTATGAAGGTGGCAAAAGAAAATTCACAGTGAGAAATAATGAGTTGCCATAACCAACAAAACAATTCATTGTGCACCCTTAATGCATCTTCGGATACTTGGGTTCCATTATTTTCACCTCCCAATCAGTCCCCAGAAAAAGCTGGAAGACTTGGATATCTCTCAATTCAGTCATTTCTACCTCTTCTGTTTTGAAGACTCCAGTCTTTTTCATCTTCGACTGCTAGCAGAGTACACTTCTCTAACCCCTTCTGAGTTTCATTCTATGATGAAATTCATCAACACAGAAATAGTTGACTTCTTTCTTTCATTCTTTCATGGAACAGCCTGGATATTACAACGATAACATTCTGCTAAGTTTAGAAATTATCTTTCTTTCAAGATATTCCTGGAAGTCCCTCTGTAATTTCCCTGTAATTTAGGTGAGAATGTGGTATGTAATAAATTAAATGCCACACATTCTCCACTAATTTGCAATGATTACCATGGCTCTTTTATAGTGACAGAATTACCAAATTGAAAGGATGGGTAACAAAAAGCAGGGAAGGGAGATGGGTCAGCTTCCAAAGTAGAATGTACTAATTACTAACTTAGTTATTAGGACCCTATTATTTTTATGAATCTGTACTTCTTGTATCAAATGATTAATGCATATTTTAGTAACTTTTTTAAAAGAGTTAATACAAAAGATGAGTATCTAGTATAGACAACATTGCAGGCACAATTTCAAGTGAACCAGAGGCTTTGAAAACACAGAGATTATGTGAACAGTGTTTTGTTCATTCCTGTGGAGCTCGTATTAAAGTTCCAAATTTGAGAGATATTCTACGAGTTTGGAGAATGTGGTGTAAAAAACACTGTTACTGGCTGGGAGCAGTGGCTTCCGCCTGTAATCCCAACACTTTGGGAAGCTGAGGCGGGCGGATCATGAGGTCAGGAGATCGAGACCATCCTGGCTAACGCGGTGAAACTTCGTCTCTACTAAAAATACAAAAAATTAGCCAGGCGTGGTGGCGGGCGACTATAGTCCCAGCTACTTGAGAGGCTGAGGCAGGAGAATCGCTTGAACCTGGGAGGCGGAGGTTGCAGTGAGCTGAGATTGCACCACTGCACTCCAGCCTGGGCAACAGAGCAAGATTCCATCTCAAAAAACAAAAACAAAAACAACAACAACAAAAAACACTGTTACCATCTCTCCAGTATCATTAGATACCACTGAGCTATCTTCCAAGCATTTTCTTTGCAACCAACACTGTAGAATAGCAGCAAGTATTCCTCTAAGAGTCAATCCAAGAAAAAGGCGACCATAAACCTACAAAATCCACTAATAAATGGAACTGCAAAAAATTTTATGAAAAGTTGTATTTTAAAAAATCACTTTTATTGAACATATAATGGAAAGTGATTTTGATGAATGTTGTCCTAATGAAAATAATCAAACCATAACTTAGTCTTTTTATGACTTTATATTTTCTTATATCAAATGATTAATAAATATGAGGCTTATGTGTATTTTAATTTTTATCTCATTTAGAGGCAGGGTTCTTGTTCTGTCATCCAGGCTGCATTGCAGTGGCATGATGATAGCTCACTGCAACCACAAAATCCTGGGCTCAAGTGATCCTCCCGCCTCAGCTTCCCTAGTGCTAGGACTATAGGAACATGCCACAATGCTCAGCTAATTATTATTATTATTTTTTATTTTGTAGAGACAGAGTCTTACACTATGTTGCCTAGGTTGGTCTTGAACTCCTGGCCTCCAGCAATCCTCCTGTCTTGGCCTCCTAAAGTGCTGGGATCACAGGTGTGAACCACCATGCCCAGTTTTGCATGTATTTTAAATACATTTGTAAAAATATAGAGAGGGAGGAAAAATGGGGGCCAGTTACAGAGAACATCTCAAGCAAAATTTAAGACACACATAAAATTATGTGAAACTATATATTCAATTTTCATCAAGTGACTTCTATAAAACAAAGAAAAAGCAAAGATTAATGAAATAAAATGGTAATTAATTAGGTGATGGAATCACCAGCTAAAGAGTAGTATATATCACTGATATTGGACATGACAAGGGGCTCAAAGAATGCTATAGAATAACAAGAATCTGGCTAGGTTTTAAACTCAAGCTCTGTAGTTTTATTGTTAACATATCCAGACTCTTAGTAAAAGGTCGTGGCTGGTACTGACAAAGGCAAGAGTCATCTTTTAGCATCAATGACTCCTTTCTGCTAAAGACAATGGCTGTACAAACACAGAAATATGACAGGAATAATAAACTTTCCAAAGCTTCAGCCATAAGACCAAGGTAAGCAGAAAAAGGAAATTACACACAGAAGATAAACCACACAGATATTATACAAATTGACCAAAATCTGAAAAATATACTTATTGACAAGAAAATACACCACAGTTGCAATACAGTGATGAGGGGTAACATTTTTCCTTTTAAGGTATTTCTGAATTATCATTCCCAGATTATTTTCATCATTCCCATTTCTAGTATATGCATGCCAATTCAACAATTTCAGAGAAGTTAGTTCCTTGACTCATATACTAAAATGGTAGATGTAAGAGAAAGTTCAGCAATAATTAATGATAGAAACACTTTTGAGTCTTATTTGACTTTCTAATAAATTTTTTCCATTTCTATTCAACATGATTAAAAGGGGTGATCAATAATAGAAAGACTTCAATTATCCTTTTCCTTGTTAATCTTTTATGTAAATAATCTCTTAGTACCTGCTTTTCTGAATGGAACCAATTAAGCAAAATGCAATATATTCTGATTCTATGTGCTCCATTTTTAAAAGCATGCTGTTTTAACTTGGTATTTTCCAGTAAGGAACATTAAATTCTAGACCTCATATCTAAAAACAATAGTTTGTGAACTTAACAAAAGCAATCTGCCACCTTCTTTTGTGAAAACATTTAACAAGAAAAGTAACTAAGAGCAATCATAAATTACTATATATACAGGCAGTTCCCTAAAAGGCTGAGACCTTAAAGAAGGAATAAAAAGGTGAAATTCAAGTTTTTAAGGTTTCAGAGAATAAGACTCTTAGAGGAACAGGTAAACTTCTTGGCCAAGTCCAACATTTGCCATTACTCCCCTTTCTAGGAAGAACACAGATTTAGACTACCTTCTTATGCTCTACTCCCATCTTAGTATTTGACCAAGAGTATTTTCTTTCTAGTGTCAATAAAAAACTATCCCACAGCTTCTCTCCTATTTCTTCCCTTTCATCAAGCCACCAGAGTCCTACAGGCATCTCTAGGTTTTGATCTACTACCAAAAACTGGAAACTGGATTTTTTTTTTTTTTGGTGGGAGGAGATGCTTTTCTATGCCCGAAGCACCTATTGTGTTTCCCTCCATCCTCTCCCCCACCCCCCACCACATATAGGCCCTGTGAACAAATTATTATTAACACTGTGGAGTTTTAGTAAGTAAAGCAGCCTGAAAGTAAAAGGGAGGAATCAGGAGCAAAGCTGCTGACATGAACACCAGTTCCTTCTCTTCCCACCTGCCACTACCAGACCTATCACTAAAGGCTCCGACACCCTGAACTAAGACTAGGGTAAAGTGAGAAATAAGACAGGAAATGGGAAAATATTTTCAGTTAGTAGTGGTGAGTCTGATGAGCCAAGAAAGAATGAAAGGATGAAACAGGGAGACAGCATACAAGAATGAGAGAAATGGTCAGGATATCCCTGCAGCAAAAGCAGTAAGAAAAGCAATTCAATCTGGCCATACTGGTAGGGTATCATAAATGAGAGCCTTCCCTGTGGGAAAGAGACACACATATAGTTGGGAGCAAGGGCACAGGGAAAATCACATACACATTTCTCTCTTTTTCTCCCCCCACCCTCTGATGCACATGTGCACTGTGCCTTTAGTAGCACTGAAATCAAATTTTTATTCAAGAAAGTAAAATGTACTCTAAAAATATCAAATCTCAGCACTGTCATAAATAAGGGAAACATAATATACTTTGCAGGATTGCCATCTGCTGTAGGGGGATCCAGCAAATGATTTGATGAAAGAATTCTGACTGGAGATAGCTATATCACATAACCAAAGCTATGAATGTGTCTGTCTTTAATAGTGTCTTTATTCAATTCTATTTGTAGAGTAAGGATATTCCTTTAGATAAGACTCAAAGGCTGCAATCAATTGTAAATTAATATATACCTAAAAAATCAACACCAAGATTTTTTATTGTATTTTTCACATTTTAGATGCTCATGAAATAAATCTACAAATGCATTTTCCCAGAAATACATTGTGAAATAGGATCAATTAGAATATAATGACAAGTGCTTTGTTATTTTGCTACACATTAATAAAAAAGGAAAAGCTAGGAAAATATTAAAATTGCAAGGGAATTTAATAG